AACAGTTGCATAAACGGAACGAAACCTATTTACAAAGAAATGGGGATGTTTACGAAAATAAGCTATTTACTCCAATATACAAAACAGCTAACGGTAAAAATAAAAGACGTGCATCATCCCGGACATAATGCAACACCACATGCGAAATTACACAGAAATGCGACGTACGGAAGAATGCGTTTTGGCTGCGAACATCTCCAAAAACTTGGCATCTCTTAACCATGGGCAAAAACATCTGGAACCACTTATAAAAACCACCCCGTATCTGCATGAACTTTTTGAACCCCACTGCTATTCCAAACAACGCGTTTTTCTGGACCATTCCAATTCGCCTCGTAATTGTAGGGGTGCGTCTGCGATATTACATTGACCGCGAAAGCAGCAACGGCAAAAATACACATTCGTGCATCAACACGGGCATGCCCGCAGACGGCGTATAAAATTGCGTGCCGATTACACAAAGAGAACCCAGTGTTTTGACTGCGAACATGAAAAATCAGCCGATTACAACACTCCGTCCGGAGGTCCTGACCTCCTTCACGGAGTAATAACAGCAACATCACTGGTGCATGGTAAAACATTAACGTCACTAATGCTATCATTATAGATACCATTGCTATCATCGCGACCATTTCAAATATAGTATCCCTTGTATCGGCTTATCTCTTGTGCACTGTGTATTATTAATTGTTGTGCTTAATTTTGATATATGAAGCTTTGAACCATGCCCCAAAATATGTAACATTTACAAACAGAAGACTACAGAATCGGTGGTATTGATTTCCACAAAAAGCAATTTTACACGAGGTTCTTTGAAATATTATTAATATAATGTTGAAAAGCACATCTCTACATTTTTCTCTGTTGTCGATATACTGGCTTACCTGCTACAAGTATTGGGCAGTCATCTTTGCTGAGGTGGTCTTCTACTTCGCTCAAGATGTCCATGACGTCTCGTTTGAAGTGGAGCGCGAGTTTTTCCCTCTCACTAGGGTCTAGGTTGGGCAAGTAGTCCGTGACGTCCTGGCATCGCTTCAGCAGGAGTTCCCGCTTGGCTTTGTAAGACTCCGCTATGTCCGCCATCTTCTCAGCAACCTCAACGATAGGACGCGAACTTGGTTATTCGGTATGCTGAACCACGTCGCAATCAAGAAGCATAAATTCTGCACGCATATTATACTGATATTTCTTTTGGAAAAAAATACTGATATTTGCTAAGAGGATATTACCTGCAATACGCAGTGTGAAAAAGTATGAAAGGATTTGATATTTGTTATGGATATCCTATAGAAATTTTTATATATGAAACCTCTCATCCTTTCCAACATCTGATTACATCCCAACGGTTCGTGGGGTCGTGGGGCGTAGCGGCAGAGTGCGCGACCAAGAACCAAGAGGTTCCGGGTTCGAGGCCTGACATGCCACCGATCTTGTGCTCTTGGGAAAGGCACTTTACACGAATTTCCTCACTTCGCTCAGGTGAAAATGAGTATTGTCCTGTCATGTATTTGTCCGCTGTGTTGGTGGCGGCATTAATATAAGTTGAAAGAACTTGAGTGTGCCGTCACCACGTCTGGTGATTACATGTTGGAATAAAAAATTTCAAACGGTTGGAACCGTGTAACCCCTCCAAGTTATTTTGTTCACTTACTCAGGCTCTACAATTGTTTGTAAATCTCTCTACTATTGAGTACTAACCTGTTCAGGACTGGTTGCTTTTTCTGCTTCTTCTTTCATCTGCTTGATCTTTTCTTTGAGGGCTGTTTTGGCCTCGGATCGGTTCCAGATCTTCTCCGTCCACGCCGAAGTCATCGAGGAGCCTGTAAACTTCCCTTGTCTTCATGGCGTCTATGTCCGCTTCTGTGATGTCTTTGGTCATACTGCAGTGTTATCTGTATCTGAATATGTGACATGTGCAGATTCCATTCAGTTATAATTACCTTTGACAGACTGTTATGTTTTCGGAAGCGTTTGTGTGTATTTGTGTATGTATGAATGTGTGCGTATGTATTATACATTTGTGTGTGTGTGTGTGTGTGTGTGTGTGTGTGTGTGTGTGTATGTGTGTGTATATGTGTGCGTGCATGTGTGTGTGTGTGTGTGTGTGTGTGTGTGTGTGTGTGTGTGTGTGTGTGTGTGTGTGTGTGTGTGTGTGTGTGTGTGTGTACATGTGCGGTGCTTGCGTACTCGTGTGCGTAGAGAGACGGTTACATACGTGACACAATAAACACGATAACTCAAAAGCTATTGATAGATTGTAATGAAACTTGGTGGATAGGTGGGTCTTGATAAGACCCCGAAATGTTTAAATTAAATTTTTGCCTTTGGCTGCTTGTTATGTTACTGCAGTGGAACTTCAGGTTTTGATATCTCGTGATCTGGACATGCTAGGGTCACGAATTCTGGAAGGTAGATAGCTCTTGTGCCCTGGAAGAAGTGACATTAGTTTATGCCACCTAACATTTTGTTCAGGTACTGCAGGGACGCTTGTTTAAACATTCTGTAGTGCCGATTGTCGTGATTTTAGTACATTAAGTAGGTGACCATAAGGAAAGAGACGTTTGCATAAATGTGTGTGATAGGTAGGCCCTGATTGGTTAGTGATAGCAAACAATCAGTGAAGAACTATTTTAGCAAAGTTGAGTTTAAGCTTGGAAGTGACGATTGCTAGATGTAAGTTAGTTCGTGACCTAGGACTCAGGTACGTATACATTTACATGTATAACGGTATAGTTGTACAAAAATATATATTGTACAGCTTGTAGTATCTCATCTGTACTATGATATCTCTCTCTGTAACTAAGTGTTACTACTAGTAAACTCCCTGTGAACCATTAGACCACATATATGTACCAGTTAGTTGAGTAAACATATGGATCAATAAACACGGCTTCACAGAAGTAATCGGACTGTTTGGATCTCCGTTTATACATGTTGTAAGGCCACGCCGACTTAATTTTATGGATGACATCCTCTGAAGACCCCAAACTAGTGCGCGCGGGCGAATAATAAAAAAAAAACTCCGGCCAAAAAATTAAAATGCTACTAAATCACGGGAACACAAAGCTGACATTGTGAAATTGAGACAGTACAAAGCGATGTATATGGCACTTGTTGACTTTTTGCGGAATTTATGAATCTCCACTGTACGATTGTACTAAGTTCTTGAGTCTTGGAGCTTCGGCATACCCTGGGTGCCATCCTCCAGAGTTACCACGGGCTCCGTATTGTCGCTAACTACCATGGACTACCCAAGCTTAGAGCCAGGCCAGGGCCTCGGAGGACGAGGAGAACAGGCGAAAATCAATGCGCGCGTGGATGTCATCCATAAAATTAAGTCGGTGTATATAGACGCCAAGATACCAAACACCCCTACACCTAAATTCATTACACAATAATGTATTGCCCTTCCCAGATAAGGCTGGAAAAGATATAAAGGAGTAAATATCGCATCAATCTCTAACAATAGCTACAGTAAATCACCTCTCAAAAACATAGCACCAAGTCCAAACAGTACAGAGGTCATGCACCACTTGATGTCAATAATAATAATGGTGTGTGCTTTCACTAGTTGTATTGTCTATTGTTCAGTAGCGCAAAGGTCGCCATAGTGTACATAATTTACATGTATGGCTGCATGTTGGCTATATATAATCATAGCAATGATACTCTCGAAGAACATAATGCAGATATGTACCTGTTTGAAATCCAAAGGGTCGCTATATATATCGGTACGGTATGGAGAATTGAAGGCGAGTTTGCAAGTCTAGCACTATGTGATGTAAAAGGAAGTAACCGAAACTAAGAAATTCTGACGGCTAACTGTTGTTGGTTGGGTCATTTAAGTAACTTAAAGGTAGAATTATAGGTGCACACGATTTTATACGTGCAGCATAGGGTGCGGTGCCTTGTCGTCGCACTTCTTAATTACGGGCGGTTTTTAAAAGTTTAGTTGTCAACGTACTGATCTAAATGCAGGTCTCAAAATGGCAGTCCTACATTTGTACATAACGTGTAACGTACCTTTTTTACCCGTTTATCTTTACCTGAAAATTTGTCATGATTTCTGCATGTAAACACACCGGTTTCCTCACCTTGTTCCGCTTCAAATTTAAGCTGACGTTCAGTACAGCAAACAGCAAGTTTCAGGCTTCTTGATTCCTATCTACCTTTGGACGACAGCCCCCTAGTATCGCCCACCGTTCGCTAGTTTCGGTGGCCGGATAGAGCTTAGCAACATGGCGGCTTGTACGTGACCTTTGAACTTGGCCATCAGACGTGCACCTGACTTCTTCCCACTTGCAGGTGCATTGTGCAAACTTACTTACTATTTTACGACATTTTAGGGGCAAAATTTATGGAAGTTTGATATTTAATGCACGTTTGGGAAATACCCGCGTAAATTATACTAGACCACACCAAGTAATTTTTATGGATGACGACCCTAAATCTAATGCGAGAGCGCGAAAAAAAAAGAAGTGCCAAATAAAGCAAGATGCCTAGATTTGAAATGTACTAAGGGACGACAAATGTTAGAACACAGATTGAACTAGAAAAGTAACATTTGCAAAGCCAATGCATATGTTTACCTTCGTACATGGTCTGCTCTGTTAATTCTTACTCAAACACATTCACATACATGGTTATATGGTGACAGGAGTCTAAATGCTCTAAATGCCTACTAAGAAATTGCAACATATGTAGCCCAACACCAGTTACTATGGTGACAGACGTCAACAGAAGAGGCCATTGGCCAGTTCAGACGTTAGTGTTTGGAACAGAAGAAGAAGAAGAAATGGAGCAAAAACAATATGTTTTCCTTCGGTAAACATAACTATTCAATATCATCATTAAAGCACCCACTTAACATAACAAATATCTTATTCTTTTAGTGTTTTTTTTTTCTTTTTCGTCTTTCCTCTACTACAATTGTAGTGACTGTAAAATAACAGCTGTTTAAAAATATATATAGCAGACAAAATTACAACAAGGAGAAGTCGTAGACATCATCCCTCCATGAAATAGCTTGTTTGTAATCTTTTGGTGTATTTCAATAGAGATATTATGAGTCAAACTGTTATAGAGTTTGCGAATATACTACTGGGGATGGTACCCAGGCTACATTTGCCTGTACATGTAGGTCAATGACCAGACAAATGACCTGCAGACCAGACAAACAAGATTTATTTTCCTGCAGACTCTATAGGGGTAAAAATAGATAGGGCTGCCTGGGTCTGACCTGCCAGCTGGAGGTATAAACAAAAACACTCTGTCCCAACTTTTGGGTCAAACAGACCATCCTATTATGAAGTAGGGGTGAAAAAGTGAAAATCCTTTTAAATCAAGCAATAAAAATATGCGACAACCTGCTAATGCACTCCAAAACACAAAGAGACTCAACAACTACCCACATACCAAAAATCATACCAAACCATCCCCTAGATTTTCCAAACATTCAACACAAAAAGTCCAACATTAAACATTTTGTAAATATCAAACGCAAACAGCTAGGGGACCCAAATTTAAACCACTAAACCATGGTAATAACAACTACATGCTACCTTAATATCGCACAAACAGTCCATAACGCGAAAACAACAGAATAAAAAATTAAACTGCAGTACCAAGGTCAATCACCAGGGGCTCAAAGTCAACCTACACAATCTCCAAGGCCCCATCCATCAATCTGCCAAATATCGTACAGTTCCTTCTCACCGATCTTCAGATATCAGACCAAACATGAAACGGAGTAAAAACAGTACCCCCATTTTCATGGAGGGTAAAAACAGTACACATTGTTGGTAAACATACATAATACAAAGTTCCTTATCACTTTAACCTACAACGTTATGTTTTAAGTAGCAAATATGTATGTGTGT